GCCCTGAATCTGCAGCAGCTGCTTTTTTGCACGACCAGGAGCTGACACAAGCCTACGGGACCTGACCTGACTCCATGAGGAGGCAGGCCAGTTGCAAGTAGGTTATTAACTTGGGCTCTGTTCTGCTAAACCCAGAAACTCTGCCACTCAAATGTCAAGCCACAAATCAAAATTTCAGCGTTGATATTCTTTCAAATGAGGGATCATGACAGTCCTGTTTGAAGATATCTATGTCTGAAGACCTTGTTCCGATATAGTGACCTTCTCTGAGAGATAGTTCTGTAGTGGTAATTATATTCTTAACAGTATAATCCTTCCCTCTGATAATTGATATATTTTATGCATTACAGTAATTAGTATCTGTCAAAAATACTTAATTCCATATAATCTTGAAATATGGAACTAAAAATTATATTAATTGTTTAAATACATAAGAAGGGAGTATTTTTTCCTTCCATGGAATGTATCAGACTTGTAGTATATAAATGTGTTAAAGATCATGTGTGATCCATAGGACAGTTTTGGGTGATGGTGAATATTCCTATTCTTTCTGGCATCCTCACTCGCCGTGAACTGCTAGACCCAAGCTGGTGGCATTCATTCCCAAAAACCACCTGTTAGCAGTGTGTGTCCAGCATCTGCTAAAAAAACACATCTCTACCTAACACACTCTGCCTGGAGTCAGTGTTACCCTTTTTCCACAGAACAGATAATAGTGGCATCCACCGCTATCACTTGTTACACAGGCAGATGGCATGTAAATACTTGTTTTGAGAATGGCCAAGCAAGGAAGCCGTTACTACATCTCTTCAGAAATAGTGTGGTGTTTACACTCTCTGTGGATAAATTTGTAGGTTACGAGCTTTTGCTTCACTACAAAATCTTTGAAACTGACTCCCAAGCAGCACGCAAGCCTTGCACAATCTGTGTCCCTTGTTCTGAAAGGAACTTACTAATTGACTAATGTAAGTAAATTTTTGGCTGGACGTATGTTCATGCTTCACGATATATCATAAAATAGGTGTTTTGTACATCCTTCTGCTCTGTCTTGAGTTAAGCAGTGTCTTTAGCAGTAATTACAACTGATTTGAACGTACCATCTAAGGTACAGTGCATGCAGAATAACATATGCCCCTAAATCTTGGTAAGATGATCTGAGAATCTGAATTCTGGTTGGCTTGAAGCAAAAGCATTGAATGAATTATAGAGCACTTTGTCCCTGATGTTGGAAAATGTTCAACATTTCCATTCAGCATCTAATAAGGGGTTTTGAGGTCACATTAAGGCAGCCCTCTGCTCAGCAATTTTAGGAAGTATAGTAGAGCGGGAGCATAGTGCCTCTGCGGTGCTGACTCTGCTTCCTTCGTGTCCTTGGTTACTGAGGTGAGCGCAATTCTCCAGTCACCTCACTGACATCTCTAATCTATGCTTTTGAGTAATCAGATAAAATCCTGTAATCTTTTGCGGTTCCTGCCTCATTTGTTCTTCTAAACAACATTCTCATAAATGTGAATATATTCTGACTACTTCCTAGCAGTAACATACAAGAGATGACTATAGAGTTACAGAGCCTTAGATCTTCCCTTTAATGAGCTCTTAGGTGCGACAGAGAAAATCCAAAAGATAGGAAGTGTTTCTGAAAAATAAATCATGTGTAATCTGAGGGCTCTGAATGTTTTATGTGCTTGTTTACTTACACAGATTATCATATAATTTGTCTGACTTGGAACTGTAACATTAATAAATAAAACCATGAACTTTAATGACATTTCCAATGTGCTTGTCAGCTCTCAAGCTGACTTCAGTAACTGTTGTATAGTGCTGGATTTAGAGTGCTGGTGGTTGTTGCAGTTACAGCATGCCAGCATTTTCTTGAAGTTCAGTTTAGTTCTGTTGTAACTCAGTTTTTGACAATGGTATGTTACAAAACCCCTAAACAAACAACTTCAATGATGTGGCATTTATACTTAATTAATAAAAGTGATAAGAACTATAAGAACTTGAAGTAATGCATTAATGGATTAAGACAGCTCATGACAACTACAGTCTGAGAGAGACTGCTGACCAAATTTAGGCATAATTGTACAGCAACGTGTGAAGTTCATGTTCTAAATCTTGACAGTACACACATGGGCACCCCCATCCCACTCATTCATGTAATTCATGTGGAAAAGTTCATTCATGCAATCTATTTTTTACCATAGATGACATTGGGTTTTTTCAGCTGGAAGTAATTAGATTGCAGTCTTCTGCTCAACTTCATTTAACTATTAATATTAGAGTGTAGCATGTGAATAAAACTTAAGGTTGATTCCTTTATGTATAGAAAGTAGTGTTGAAAGTAGTGTCTCTTCCATAAAGAGATTGACAGACAAAAAAAAAAAAAAAATGGAAGCACGTCTACTGCAGTATTTGCTATTCCTGCCAGTAAGCAGCAATGTCAGAGATTCCATGGCTAAGGTCTAAAACAAATGACTATAAACGTAGACCTGACGTGGTAGATACTGACGTTTACAGATGAAGATTCAAAGACATTCACTAGCTTGTGCAAATTACAGGCACAATTACCTTCTATTTCCTCATGAAGCATATGTATACATTTTTAAGATTAACTTTCTAATCTTTCCTTTAATGTTTTGCTATAGTTTTATCTCTCATCCCTTTTGTGACCATTTCTTTTACTTGATAAAAGAGCTGCTTGCCCTTCAGTAGCTGTCAATATTTCTTCCAAAATAGAGGCAAGATCCAGTTGAGGTCCAGATAACATCAATACTGTTATATCAGAAATTGGATACATCCAGAATGGTTTAGATACCTCCTTCAGCAGAAGCAGGATTTTTAATACGCACTCTCCCATGTGTAAGAGCATATAGGCAATGAAGGTTCTGACTCAGAGTATTTGCTTTCATGTTAAATTGAAAGAGAATGTCACAATATCTAAATTACCCCATCTTCCAAACTATAAAGAATTGGTTTTATTAAAGATAGTTTTGTTTTGAAACTGTGGCATATATGTAAAACAACAGTACATTACAACAATATTGAATATAATTCAAAACTGACACACTCCTGTCTAACAAAAGAAAATTAACACACCCTCTTTTAACAAAATAACCCTCTTCCCCCACTAAAAGCTTCCTCTCAGTACTTTACACAGGCTCTGCTGAGACAAGATTTGCTTAAAGTTGGATGTAAGAGTGAACATGCTTAACGTAACAGAGTTTGCCTTTTGATTTCTCTGTGTACATCCTACACCTTTTTTGGAACACCCTTCACTGAGAGCCTGTAAGTGAATATAGGACCTGAGCTTATTTATCTGTTTTATGTTTATAATCTAACATACCTGCGGCATATCTAAAGAAGTGCATGTTATTTATATATAATAAACCATAATTTTAGCTGCTTATCAGTATTTAGGAAAAATAATGCTATTCCAGTGTTTTACTGAGCCCCCAATAGTTTTATGATTATGTCAGTAGGGCATACTGTCTGTAATTTGGTCACAGGACTAATTTCTAATACACTTGTTTTTCATATATTTAGGTAGATTATGCTGGGTTTTGCACTGAATTACTTCATGTAAAGTTTGGGGGTCTTACATTTGTGGTGATTAACATTTCATTACATAATAATACTAGAGAATGACTTGTGTTTTAACTGTGACAGTAAACCAGACCCGTTATGAAACCAAGGCTGAAGGCCAAATCCTTCCAATCTGTAGAGACGGTGCAATTTTAGATAAGCAGTGTACATCATTGTTGCTCTTACTGCTTTTTTACAGTGATTCCAAGTCTTTCAACAGTGGTCAGGCACCTTTTAAATCATTTTACTGCCTGAATTTTGCCAGTTATGTCTCTTCATTCACACCTGCCCAATTGTTGCCGATAAACTGTGAAGCAATTAGTTATTATCTACATTCTCAACATCCTGTTGCCATTTTGCAATAAATCAAATAATCAGGCTGCTCATCTTAAAAATCAAGGAGTGTCTCTTATCTTTCTCTAACGTTTGTGTGCCTTTTTTTTCTCTAAAGGCTCACCACAGATACTAGTGAGAAACAATAGATCAGTATCGTTGAAAGGAGTTAAACATCTGTAGAAAAAAAGGATAATATTTGACAGTTAAAATTAGGCATTTCTTTCTAAACAAATCCATTCCATGTGATACTGCATATGTGTGTAAGAAAATCCAAGCACAAGTTTGAGTGGACTCAGAAAAGAATTAGACTAGATTTATTTTTGTTAAAATTCTACACGTTAGAATATATATGCACACACACACATGTATTCAGTGGATGGCAGCAGGAAAAAGAATGAAAGTAAATAAAAAGGAAGCGGATCTGATTGTTAATCAGAATTATTCCTATATTATTCTATGATGATGATGGTATGAATTTGAGACAGTCTGAAACACAACATACTGCCTTTATAGTCTTTCTAACATAACACTAATTTCTCACATTTTAGATGATAATAGATAGGAATCTTTTCTGCCAATGTGATCCAGTGCTTTAAAGGATGTAGTTACAGATCTCTACAGCTGAGCCTTACTGACAGAATAGTAACAGTGTGTATAGAACTGTGAAAGACTGGGTCTGCTGTTCTCCTTGCTGCTGTCACGTGTATTGCTTTGTTCGCAAGTTGGTGGATCACTGTCTTTGGGGTGACACTGTGAAAGAAGTCCTTTTTGCTGGGATTTATTTGCTTCCTTGGTAAAAGGATTAAACATTTTTATAATCCTATGAGAAAACAGAACTGTCCTCCCAAGAATTTCTGTTCTGAAGTAGACAATAGCATTCATTATTGTAGCAGTTTGTAATGGGTTCTAGATTTGAATATGCAGTAAATGTTTCTAACGTTAGCTCCTCATTTAGACTGTACACCTCAGAACTTTAATGTGTACATGGTCAGGTATTGTTAAGGAAAGTGGAATTACACATGTGATGAATTTGCTATGTGACTGCAAGTTATCATTCATACTGTAATCTGCATCTGTTCCAGCTTCTTCAATCCTGAAGAGAGAGAAGCGGAAGAGAACAAAAAATGTCCATTTTAACTGTGTTACTGTGTATTACTTCACGAGAAGGCAAGGCTTCACCAGTGTTCCCAGCCAGGGGGGAAGCACACTGGGAATGTCTACGCGCCACAACAGCGTGCGCCAGTACACGCTTGGAGAGTTTGCAATGGAGCAGGAGAGGCTTCACCGAGAGATGTTAAGAGAACATCTAAGGGAGGAAAAACTCAATTCTCTAAAATTAAAGGTAAAAATTCGGCAAGATTTTGATTCCTGTCTTATTTACCTAAGTGAGCAGTGATATGGGCCCAATATGTGTGTGTGTCTTTCTATCAACTCCATTTTCAGTTGAACCAATGGCATTTTTCTTCTTTTTTTAGTTTACTTTACTGAAGACAGATTTTTGTTCGATATTACCAAGTGCAGTTGTAGCTCTTATTGATGGGTACCTCAGAGTGTTTTCCTCTCTGTAAAAAACAGAGAGTAAACAACAACCTCCCTGTAAAACAAAGGCAGGGAGTGGTGGAAGTTAGCCTTGAACAGGGTGTCCAGCAGAAGTCTGGAAGTGCCAGGAAGAAGATGAGTCCTCTTAGCCCTTGCACAGTGCCCTGTCAGACAAGGAAATGGTGACAACCTAAATATAGAAAGTGAAATAGCTTATTTTCTTGGCCAACTTCAGCAAATTTGGAAAAAAGTAAGAAACAGTAGTACTAAAAATGTTTTTTTTTTTTCAGTGTACCAATTTATATAATCATGCATCTTTAATATTTCAGCAGAGGATGTCTGTGTTAAAGAAATGTCAGACAAATTACCCAGCTGTATCAGTTTAATTAGTCAGATCAAATACTGGCTACAGTTTTGAAGCTGTCTTTTTAAATATAGCACAGGAGAGGAAAGAACTGTGTATTTGGCTAGAGGAGAATGGAGAAAGGGAATGCATTCTTGGAAGTGTCCCTTCTGTCCCTTTAAAACTGGTGGCAAAACTTCTGGTTTTGTAGTGGATGAAACATTTCCTGTATAGTGTCTTGTATTATACGTATTTTATGCTCTTTTTCAGATGAATCTTGTTATTAAAATGACCGAACTGCTTGTGCTCCATAGTCCCTTCATTTGTGATATTCTATCGCTGTTTCAGATACTACTACAGTTGTCCAGAGCAAACTGGCATCCTTCAAGTTTAAGAAATGCCTTTCAGCATTTTTCCACAGAACAAACTGTGTTCATGAATTCTATGTCTGAACTCCTGAAATGTGTATGACCCATACTATTATAATTACTTTTTTTTTGCCTCCTAATTGTTTTTTATTTGAATAGCTAAATAGATTCTTAAATGGTTTATAAAACTGTCATTATGAAATAAAACCACTCAGAACAAAGGGAAATCAAAGACAGATATTTGGACAGGTCGGAAATTAAAGGCTAGAGTGTTAGTGATTTATCACTAGGTAGAGATTATACCTCTAAACATCTCACATCACAGGAGCTTCAGAGCACCAAGTGTGAATTGAGCTGTGTCACTGTAACCAATGACTCTGTGTAGATCCCTTGGCTGACTTCTAGGAACCAGCTCAAAGAGAGGAATCCTCAGTGAAGTGAGTTAAAGAATAGTAAGGCATGCAAATATTTCACTTTTCTCTTTATAGCTAGAAAGTGAATCAAGAAAAATCATGGATTGTGTTTACTGCTGAAGATTGGATGAGGAGGTTTAACTTTCATCTGCATGGAGTAGAGTGTGGCTCTTTGTACTTTCATAATTCTACTCTTGGCTGGGATAGATCTCCTTTCTTCATTAACTGACTTCACTCTAGCCCACTTTTTTTAGGGGACAGAGACTCTACTTTCTGCTCTTCCAAATACAACGTGTTCTTCCATCTCCCCAGTCACTTGTTTTGAGTGGATAATGTTTACTGACTGTTAAATTCCTGCAAAATCTCTTCATAAGTATTCAGTGAATAGGGAAAGCCTGATTTGCATTCTTCCTTCTGTCCTAATTTTAATTTTCTTTTTACCTAATAGAAAAGTCCTTCCCTTACATTTAATTCAGGAGTGGTGGGATTCTTTCTTCATAGATCCTCAGCAGTTGATGTGGGAATAGTTTTCTAGCATGTTATGAGACTTGTAAGCCTACTCCAGATATTAGGAAATTGTGGTTAGGTCTTCAGAATCCTGAGAGTGGCATAAAAATGGTGACATCTTACTAGTTTTAAATCTTTTACTAGAGTAAAATATTTCGCTTTACTCTAGAGCAAGTGTTAAAACACAGGGAACAGAAAACTTCAGGTTTTTTTAACTGGTCCATTAAACTTAGCTTAGTTGCATCCCTGATTAAACACTTGGGGTAAAAAAAAAAAACAAACCAAACCAAAAAACCCCAAACCCCTATTTTCTCTCCCAAAAGCAAATCCAGGACTCACTAAATTACTGAAGAGTCACTGTAAAGCACTGAGCATGTTTTATTTACTTAAGATGACTGGGCATTTCTGATTTCCCATTATAGAATTTCCGATTGGTCATTCACATAGTTTCTAAATGAACACAAAAAGGAAAGGCCATAATGTTCCGAGGTGACAATGTCAGCTATTATGATCTTTAGTGAAAATGCACTAATTAGGATTTGTGTCAAAATTACTGTACATCTGTACAGAAAACTGAAGAAAATGGAAAAATGAAGTAGGGCAAAGCTTGCTCAAAAAGGTTTTTCTGTTTGAAAACCATTATGCAAACAGAAAGTAACATTTTCAGTGTGTTTTTTGATTTGTTTCCCTGTTTTTTAAAATTTTTTGCATTGGATTAAAATATAGAAATCTGTAGGTAGAAAGTGTTCTCTTTTGTATAATTTGTTTTAAAAGTACAAATACAGGAATATATTGAAATTGAGTCTCCATTATATTACGTACTTATTATTTTACTTGCTAAAGTGAAGAGCCAAGTAAGAAACTTTTCTTAATTAAAAGCAGATAAAGACTTTAAAATCATCTTCAAGTCACTTGAGCTATTTAGCAGCAGCACTTTGGTGTAAACACTGCTGACAGTGGCATAAACACTTGTTAGCAGCAGAGTGTGAAAATTTTAATGGCAATCTGGACATAAAAGCCAGCTTGTCAAGATGAAAGGTACAAGGTAGGCTTTACTTTACTACATTGTCATTTGAGAAGACATTATGAGTAAGCGCCATAAATTAGCTGGAACAGTCCTTATTGCTTACTCATAATGTCTACTCAAATTAAGATCTATTAAAATGATTAGCATGACCCTAGTGATGTTATGGCTTCTGGGTCTGTGGGCACAGTTGGTTTCCTTTGTGGGAAATCATAAGGAATAACTTCCAGCTAGGGCAGGCAAAGGTGTCTAACCTAAATTTTTCACATTTTACAGAGTTGAAGTGAATTTCACCCAAAGGCTTCATATATTCAGTGTGCCTAGCCGCGTTCTGTTGTTATGACATTAACCTTTAACTTTATGAGAGAAATTTTACCCATCTCCATATCAAGTTTAATTCAGATGAACAATATTATGACTATCAAGAGAACTTAATATTCCCCTGAAGTTCTGTATTGGAAAATGTCTTTGATGGTTCTTGATAATCTTCCTCCCTCTGTAATTACCCAGTTGCTTTAAGAATGTTTGAATCTTTCATTTCATTAATTCATTTGCTCTTTGTGTGGCAAAATTGCGAAAAAACATCAGAGGAGACAACAAGGAAGTCATTCAGCAAAGGACTCAGGGCAAACTGCTGTCTAATCCCACTTGGTGCCCAGGCTTTTGAATGACATACAGTATTCAGCAGGTGGCTGGAGTCCATTCCTTGCTGCTCCACTGCCATGTAGCAAAGCAGTTGAGATTTGCGGGACGAGGAGGAGAAATACATGACAGGCTTGGCATGGTTCTATAGGTGCCTTTGTAAGCTGAGCAGTTACAGCATTCACTTCATGAGTAAAAGCCCTGGAACTTAATTTTTATTAAATAGTAATTGAATAAAATACTAAAATAATTACAGAAGCAGGGATTAGAATCTTACCCTTCTCCAGTTTCAAATTTAAACTCTGATAGACAATTAAATAACAGTGATCTGCTAAAGGAGTGGTTTGAGCCTTGTGTATTTAAAACTAGAGAAATCAGAATTCTTAGGTAGGTCATTCTCCTATTCTATAAAATACAAGAAAGCAAAGAAACATAAATACACTGTGCTTAGTTGTACCTAGCTAACAAAAAAGGAAAAATGGAAAAAAAATCAAGGATGTTCTTCTGGATTTGAACATTCAGGCTGAGTTGCATGTGCAGTGGAGCCATTCCTCCCACTAGCTTCAGGCAGGTAATTCAAAATGCATTTAATTACTCTGGATTTACCTGTGTCTCGCTGTAGATTATACAGAAAAAGGATGACTTCTCCTGTTGTCTTCTCTAACTCATTTTCCTAACTAATAAGTTGAAATACCTGGTGTAAATAATCTCTCCATTGTCCCAGGGCCAGGCAGAACTGATCAGGGAGCTATGAATTGAGTAAACGGAAAATAGAGTAAGAGAACAATCTGCAGGAAGTTTGACAGGACATTTTGAAAATGTCTGCATTTAAAATGAAGAAAGAGCTAGAAGTATATGCAGATAAAGGGATTTGAATGTTATAGGTATAACAGACATGGTAAATAAACTGAAACATGAAATAAACTGAAGGCACTAAACTCAGAAGGCTGCAGTTACGGAGCAAGATTCAGAAAACACTGAGTAGAGGAGGAAACAATAATGCCTGTAAAGTGAATTTGTGGAAATGCAGAACACCTCTGCATGAACTAAATATAGTGCTGAATTGCTAAGAAGGGGTGATTACTGATCTCAGGAGAATTTTTCTTTGTACAGTGTAACGTGCACATGTACGCTGTATGTAAGGATACCAGTCATGACACTGAGGCTCTTCTGCTTCAAAGGGAGGAGTATTGCTGTGATTGTCTTACACAGTTGTTATAAACACAAAACTGCAATTACAAAAAAGAGTAAACAGTAACAGTTCACCATCAAGTAATTCAGTAATGCCATAAATGACAGTTACAGTCCAAAAGATTGTGGAAAGGACATCGTTAATATAAATGGAAAGATGAAACAGTTGGGAATATAATAAAAGCAGAAATAGTGGAATGGGTAAGAGCCAGGACTGCTTTCTTACATGTGAAAAGCATAGCTAGATGGACATGACAGGATTTAGTAGCAGAAAAATGGGGAGAGTTACAGTGATAGTTGTTAAATGTCTAATCACTGAAATGTACAAGAAACAGGCAACAGTAGTTATGACTTCAGTATTTTATATGCATTTAAAACTGGTGTCTAAAAATTCATTTGGGATAACAGGCCAAGCTGAGGTTTTCTGCAGGTAAATAAGGCAAAACAGAGAAAGAATGTCAATGGCTATTTTTCTACAGGTAAGGACATTCAAATTACATTCACTGGAGGCCATTTTTATGAGGTCATGGTGGTGCCCATGATGAAACTGTTAATGTAGATGAGACTTGAGACTTCACCAGTGTATAATTATCACATAGTTGCACCATGTTTTTTTCACAAAAGTATGAGTCCAGGTGCTTGGCTAGTGTATATCAGCAGCCTCATCAATTGAGAACATGACATAGATTAGGGTGAACATTTGGAATCAGATTGTTTGTTTGTTTTTCCATTTTAAGCAAAATTATTTAATAGAAAAATAATAAAAAATATTTACTATATGACAAAATAAATCATATAACTGCACTTGCTTCAGGTTTGCTATATAGCACAGTGCTCAATCTGAGTAATTTGAGAAAATCTATTTTTTGTAGTGAACATCATAATCTCTCTGAACTTTAACATTTAATATTCTTTTGATTCTCAAGTAATTTTCTCTGTAGAACCTTTATAAACCCAGTAGTTATGTTATCTGGCAGATATAACCAGTGAGCTCTACCATGGGTGGGAAAAGTAACCTTCCTTCAGTGCAGTAAATTTTTTTTTTCTTTTCTCCTTGAACATATACACCCCTTTCTATATGAGGTGAGTTACAGGAGTATGGTGCAGAAGTGTATGCTATATTATGAAAGTGGCACTGGATGTTTGTGCTTGATGCTCATGGCCATTTAATTTTGAAACACAATTTAAAGGTTTGAGAGCTAGACTATACATATGTAATAATATAGTGCCAGGATACTTGTATCTGCAGAGGTTCAAAAATTCATACCCCTAGGAAAGGAGCAAAAACCCCCTTTTCTTAAGATCCTCCTCAAGAGGTTCACAACTTCCTTTTTTCTAAATTTATTCATTCATTAACTACCTGAGAATAATCTGGACTGGTTAGTGAAGTAGTAAAATCTCTGACAACATAAAGCTAAATAGGTTATTTTCAGGACCAAAGACTAGAAAGAACTTCAGACGAGCTATATGCGTCAGCGCCATGAAATGCATTGCAAATGAACATGAAATAATGTAGGTAAAGGGGAAAAATTAAGCGACTTCCAGGCTTAAAATTGTCAAGAAGCAAATACTGCCCAAGTGATTAAGGGGAAATACTGCTTTGTGACCTCAGCTGTACACACATCAAACAACTTGTCAGCTAAAGAGGAACAGGATTACGAACAGGACATAAATACATCATTTTGCAAATCTGTGATGAATAATCTGAAACAGTGTTGGTAGTGTAATTACTATCTCAAAAGGGATATTGAAGAATTTCAAGGAGCCCAGAGACGGGAACTAGAATCAATTAAGGGCTCAAAGATTATTTTATGAAATAGAGAAAAGACTAGAATTTTAGAAAGCCATGAGATCTGGCAAGCAACAACAAAGGATATAAAGAGCAGACAAGAATTCAGAAACAGAAAAAGAATTAGCGTCATGACAAACATAAAGCTAAAAATGTGTATTGAACTCACATGTTAAATGTGAAAGAACTGCCTTTTCACCCCATCTGTAGTCATATTCTGGAATTTACTGGCAGTTGTGTAGCATTTTTAAATACAGCCTTCCACATCCATAATTCATTGCACATGCTTACATTTATAACACATAGATATATATGTGTAAGTATAGTTTAAGGACTTTGTTAATTGTTCTGTGCAACAGATGACGAAGAACGGTACAGTGGAATCTGAAGAAGCTAATACGCTGACTCTGGATGACATTTCTGATGATGATATTGATCTAGACAACACTGAAGTAGATGAGTACTTCTTTCTGCAACCCCTGCCGACAAAAAAGCGACGGGCATTGCTGCGAGCTTCTGGAGTGAAGAAGATTGATGTGGAAGAAAAACACGAGCTGCGAGCTATCCGCTTGTCCAGAGAGGATTGTGGCTGTGACTGCCGCGTGTTCTGTGATCCAGAAACTTGCACTTGCAGTCTTGCAGGCATAAAATGTCAGGTAAATGTCTATATTATTGTCGTTATTTAGCTATCAAGGGGAGGGGGAAGAGTGTGTGCGCATGCACACGCATGTTTTTTTTGTTGTCAAAGTTACAACTACTGGAAATTAATTATTAAGATGATAACACTTGTGGCTCTCAAACCATTTTTTAAGGCCCAGATTTAAGAGCATATAGTGTGCAAGACAAACAATCTCCTTAAACTATTTTGTGATTGGTTTAGGCACATACATGGTTTAAATTTTTTTTTTTCCTTATACAAATACTCTGCTTATTGTATTGCTCTTTGGCCTTTATCTAAATATCTAGATGCAGACAATAGGAGAATCAGTAGGCTGCCGATTTCAGAAGGGATATTACCTTTTATTTTAGCAACAATTCACATATTGTCCAAATGTGAATTATAATCCAACCTCAAGGATAAACAATAAGTGACACTCTGTGGAACCATCCTTTATTTAATGTGCAAAATACTTAAAATGCATGCATGATAAATTTGCATGTAGGCAATAAAAAATTCATCAGCTAATACAGAAGGCAGTTTTTCCTCCACAGACTGAAAAGGTGTTTCGTATTGTACGTTTACAGAGTGTCCTATGTACAGCTGTAAATGTCCCAAAATGTTCCCTGAAAGATGTTTCCACTAATTGTCCTGAGTTGCTGTTATGCAACTGAGTTAATTTCTTCCTGAATGCATTTTTCGTCATCTCTTAAATCCAAGCTAAACTTTCTCTGCTATTTTAAATAATATATTCTCTTTGCTGTTCCTGTTTTCATCTTCACATGTGGGGAGGTTGTATTACACTGTTATATGGTTCTCATCTGCATCATATTTGATGTTTAGGTATTACAGTGTAGATGAAAATCATAAACCTTAACCTATCTAATAAAATTATCCCATGTGGATTCAGTCACATTTTTAGAAATTTAAGATGGCTATTATTAGATATATAAGTTCTGCCCACAGTCTGTTGAGCTTAAAATGTTTCATCTACAATCAACTGGACTGTCTTTTAAAGCATATTTCAGTTTTTATTCCTACTTTCTGTGGTCACTGGCAACTTTATAAAGGTTTTTTATATATAAATTTTTGTTTGAATGCTTTTCTAGCTTCCATGATTTTTACCAAATTTTAAGACTCTTTCTGGTAGTGCTTTTGCCTGGATTTGGGCATAACATGAAGTAAAGCTGTACCAGATCCATAAATAGAAAAACTACCTATGTTTTGGTTCCCATGTGTAGTGCGTTCACCTATGGAACAGAAACAGATTTTTCCTACTGTGCAACATTGTTACATGTGTGGGTCCCTTTACTGATAGGAGCAGTACGCTAACTTCCAGGCCTAACTCTTTGAATTATTGTTAGCCTAAACTATTCTTACAAGTACTTTCTCAAGGTGAATCTCACCTTGCTATTGTACTTCTCAAGGCTGTCTAGGTTCTGTCATATCACCAGGTTTATGCTACATGCTGTTAATCTGTATTCTTTTTTTTAAAAGGTGGATCGTATGTCTTTTCCATGCGGTTGCACTAAGGAAGGGTGTAGCAATACAGCAGGTAGAATTGAATTTAACCCTATCCGTGTACGGACTCACTTTTTGCACACAATAATGAAACTTGAATTGGAGAAAAATAGAGAGCAGCAAGTTCCAGCACTGAATGGCTGCCACAATGAGATAAGTGCACACGCTAGTTCTATGAGTCCGGGACCCCATCCGGTTGAATATTCCATTGCAGAAAATTTTGAGATTGAAACTGAACCTCCGGCTTCGGTTATGCATTCCCAGTCAGCCGAGGACTTGGACTGTCCAGGGGAAGAGGAGGAAGAGGAAGATGGGAGTAGCTTTTGTAGTGGAGTTACAGATTCTAGCACACAGAGTTTAGCCCCTAGCGAATCAGATGATGATGAAGAGGAAGAGGAAGATGAGGAGGAAGATGATGAGGAAGAAAAAGCAGATGATTTTGTAGAAAGCATGGGCTCCCATGCTGATATGGTGCCTCTTCCTTCTGTCCTTTGCTACTCTGATGGAAGTGCTGTGCATGAAAACCACTCTAAAAATGCCTCATACTACACTAACTCTTCAAGTCTGTATTACCAAATAGAGAATCACGTTGCTGGCACTGCTAACCAGATAGGTGAGACTTACTCAGAAAGGGATGCTGTCAAGAACGGTAGTCTTTCTCTGGTGCCTTACAACATGACTTCAGAACAGTTTGTTGACTACACACGGCAATCAGAGGAAACTTTTAGCAGCCCTCATTACCCTTCTGCAAACCCCTCAGTGATTGTTTGCTGCTCATCTTCTGAAGGTGATAGCAGTGCTCCATGTAACAGTTTATACACTGAGCATAGGCCAAGCCACCCTCAAGTGGAATTTCCCTCATACTTGAAAGGTCCTTCTCAAGATGGCTTTGTTTCAGTGTTGAATGGCGACAGTCACATACAAGACCACCCTGCTGAGAATTCGCTAAACCTCCCAGAAAAAAGCAGACTGCACGACGAGTGCATCAAATCCCCAGTGGTAGAAACGGTACCTGTTTAATATTAAAATTATTCTAGGACTGACTTCCTGTATTGAAATGCACTCACACTGGATTTCCTGGAATCTTACTTTTTTAAGAGGTAGACAACACTTGGACTATCATCAGTGTTCCAGACACATTTTGTTTTCTCAAGCTACACTGGCAGTGGTATTGCACAAAACCAGTTCATGTAAAAATTTAAATTAAAAAAAAATCAAACTGTCTTTTGATAAAAATAAAACGCGTAAGTAAAAATACACCCAACATATTTCAGAGTAGCCTACCTATCAAAGTATGTGAAACCTGCCACGGTATCTGAATCAAAGCTTCGTGTTTTTGATTGTCGGGCCTGTGCAAGATTGTTAAAAATAATGATACTTTGAAATAATCATGTTTGGAGTCCTAATTTTCAACATATCTGAAAAGATGGTAAGTTTAATGTAAAAGTAACTACTGTACAAAAAAAGTTTTAATTGTTCTGTACTGTATGTATTTTATTTATGGTAGTTTAGTACTCATATTTTGATAAAAATGAACAGCATGTTCATCTGAGCAGAAGATCCATAGCTAGTTACGAAGAGCATGTCCACTTTTCATCTGGAGTACCTTGTGTTCTTCCTTTTTTTATTTTAAATACCATTTCTGGTAAATTATCTTGAAATGCATTTTTAGAGTGTACTGTTTTCTCTTTTACTGTTCTTGACAAACGGAAGAGTCGGTAAGGGGCCATTTACATCTTCTAGAAAGGTGAAAGGTAGACAATCCTCCATTAAAATTAAAACCAGTGGCATTCCAGAACTAGTACCCCCTCCCCAAAGAAAAATGTTCTTGTATATAATGACAAAGCAGTAGCTTAAGCTTGCACAGCACCTTTTAGCCCAACAAACATTCAGATACTTATGCACTTTAGTGCCATTTTGCAGTACTGTATTAACTGCGGGAACTGTGAACTATTTTGGAGAAATGCCATAGCTCCAGACTCCGAGGTATATGTAAGATCTTACAATTCATTGTAACAAAACCTGTACATTTTTCCCAAGCCAGTTCATGAATATGTCAGTAGGTAATTTAAAAAAGCAAAGTCTTGTTGATCAGAGTTTATATGAAGCATGGAAAAAATGTGGAAGTGTCTAGATTTCCTAAATATTTAGCAGTTTTTATGAAGTACAAGACTGGCTTTTGTGGACTTGTGATTGTATCTCAAATTTACAGTAATTTGGCCTAATTAGGAACCAGTAGATTCAGTGAGGAAACATGACTTCAGAAATTTCGTATCTGCTAAAGTCTGCAAGCAAAATAGCACGTGCATCGTATGGATATCCGTTCCCTTGTACTCCATTTGTTTTTAAATGAAATGGGAATTAAAATACCTGCTGTATCTCAACCTTTAATTTATTAACCAACCTTGCTTTCTTTTAGAAAAAGAGGTATAGGAAAGGAACCTCCTTTTCTCTACACTGATTATTCTGCACTGCCTTACTTTGATTTAAAAATCTATTTTAACAATTTTTCTAATACTGAAATTTTACTTATTATACATGAAGTGGGTTGAATTGTAGACCTGTCTTGTTTGTCAGAATAAGGATCAGCATCTTAGTTTTTATCTGTCAAATCTAGATGGTATGCATGTAAACACAGTGTAAATTTTAGCTCTGTAACAGTGACTCTTCTGGTTAGGAGCTCTTGAAAACATCATGTACAGTACTCCAGTAGAAAAACTGCCAGATTTAAAATATGCTTTTTAAAAAAATAAGCAGATTTAATTGTTTTTATATGAAATCTGGGCAAAGTGATTTCTCATTTTTGTGCTAAATTAGCAAAATATTTTTACTCCATGTAGTAGCTGGAAAGGTTTTTTTTTTATTCATTTCCACAAGAAGTCCTACATGTTTTATATGAACTGCATTGAAAAGTCCTAGTTCTCTAGGGACTGGATTCCACACTTGCAGTGCATTCCATCTCCTGGGAAAGTGCAGTCATGCTGGTTATCTGGCTCAGCAGTTCCTTAGCCTCTGCTCCTCTTAGTCACAGAACACTCCAGTCTCTTTCTCAAAAGGCTGAGTAGCCAGGTAAGCGCATGTATTCTCCAATTTCATACAGCAAATACCCATCTTTATTTTTAAAGAGAAACATGTTCATAAAGTTCTGCATCTAAAAATAATATTATTCTCTTCAAGATATTTTATGGGCAAATGTAACAAGTCTCTGTGTGTATAGGCATCTTGCATTAATACTAGGCTTAAATCTGGCACTCCCACTTGACACCAGCACCAAAAGCACAAATCCCTTCTACTTGAGCTGGGACACCAGCTGTGAATCAGCAGCAGCTTTTTAACCTCAGAATGTGTTGGAGGATCATGCACAATTTACCAGGGTATTCTCTCAGGGGAAAGTTAAATGAAACATTTTGTTTCAGTATTCACCCCCTTACTGAGCAATAAGAAATTATTTTCTTGGCCCCTGTGCTTTCACACAAAAAATATCTTTAATAATATTAGCAAACCCAGTAAGTGATTAACTTTATAAAACACATCTCAGCTAGCTTTAAAATACTGAGATTATGGTTATATAATATTTCCATTGGCACAGGCTTCAGACCCCAGGCCTTCTTAGTATTAGCATCTGTATAACCCTCTGAGTACTTGGATGTGTATGTTCCATGCCACTGGGGCACGAGGGGTGAATACAGCTAAATTCTCAAAATCTTGCAGCGTAGGATAACAAGCAGTACCTTGTAGTAGGGTAAAGAAGGCAGCGACTGTGTAACGAATGTGAACTACACTATTTTCCCTTGTTTAAAATGGCTAATTCCTGGGACACTCAAACTAAAATGTGCAGAATAAATGAAGATTTATGATGAAAAAATATTCTTAACTACCTGGTGATGATGTAGATAGTAATACCTTCCTTTTGATTCGATCTGATGTTTTATGATCAAGATTTGATCTCAGGATACAAAGTAAACAAGTCTTGTTTAGTTCTTGCAAGAAGTTACAAAGTCAAGTCTGTTTATAATTCATGGAGATTTCCTGGTAGCTGTACTAATATCAACAAGCCTTCTAACAGAGATAAGCTCATACTGTGAGGAAAAAACCCTCAGAAAACTCTGTTTTTGATATAGGCTAAACCCGTTCCCCAAACAATTCTATACAGCAAATAACAAAAAAAGTCACAGCCATAACCAAAACAGATTCAACTGTGAAATACAGAACATTTTAACTGTGAAATCTAAAAAAACAAAAAAATTGAACTGTGACATCTAGAGTAGGCTATCGAAATCAGGTGAGAGTCAGCATTCCTACCAGTTGATTAAATTTTGATGTGTTGTTTAGAAAAAAAAGCACTCTTCATATAAGGAAAAATAAAGTTATGGGGTGGGAAATGTTATTTTCTGGGCTAGCTTACAAGATATGATGTGTCCCATTTCCCAGTTGGTTAATACCCATATTGATAACCATTCCTTTCATTTTGGATAAGGTTATTTCTGTGTAATAAAAGTATTATGTTACTAAATGATAAACGGCAGTACTTGCTTCTATATCAACACAGTATATAATTTGTGGAAATGTTTACTGATAGTTGTATCAGCTTTATTTCCAAGGTATCTGGCTACTGATAATCACTCCCAATAAGCCAGGTAATAAATTGGTAGATAGTTTATGGTTAAATTACATAGTTCAGAAAAATAAGTCATAACAAAAGCATTTCCCTCTGTTAAAACAGAATCTTCACACAGATGATCACAGAAGCAGCACCTAAAACTGGATGCCTTTTTGCCTAGAATGTGAACTTTGCCTCTCTTGGAAAAAAACATATCATTAAAGTTTATATATAAAGCTTTATCTGATGTTAGACACAAAATCAGAGCTTGATTCAAATATAAAATTGCAGCAATTGTAATTGTTTCCTAAGAGCTATAATTCATGCCCACTGGAACATCCTTTAAAAAATTAAAAGCTGGTCAGTAAAATTTTCTAATATTAATTTCCTTTTTCTTAAAAAAAAAATAAAATATTTGATAAACTGTATGGCATTTAGATCAGATAGTTCTAGATTTGTAAAGTTTCACTGCTTTTCATTTACATAAGTTCCTGCTAGTAAATCATAATGTGACATTTATTTATTTTAAGGCCATTGATTACACCATATTATAGTAACCATCACTGGCTATAAATATGGCTCAACCTGCTCACTGTTCTGCTAACGGAGTTGGTTAACAATGCGATCCTGCCCTTTGTCTATGTTCTGCAGAAATTGCATGTAATAGTCATGGTGGTGTTACTCACTGGTTTGGTAACTGATCCAGATCCAGTTTCTAATCTTATCTGGGTGTTGTATTTCAGTAAACGTGCTAACAAACTGATCATATAGCATTCCCTGCCACACAATCAGGAGGATATCTTCACAAAACACAGCTAGTTTGTTAAACATTGTAAACATATATTTGTATGCAAACCAGAGCATGTATTATGTTTTTTTAGTATTTTGGGTGTTCCTGATTCTTCGATAGAAAGAATACAGTTGATAGAGACTATTAGGCTGAGACAGAGGAGACCTGGGTTCTGTTGCCTTGGCCTTTGTATTGCTGTGTCACTTTATGCTCTGGTGTCTAAGGTACTTGGCGATACCACGATAAAAAAATAATTCTATAGAACAGGTAAAATACTATTTTTTCCCTTTTTTTTTTTTTTTTTTTTGGCATTGTAACTAAATTTTGTAACTAAATACTGCAAACTAAGTCACTTTCCCAATAAAGCCCAGTCCAGCTCAGAAGTGAATAGAAATTTTATCACTAATGTGAAACAGCAAAGTAAGCACTCTTTTCCATGGATTGGATTAATGATTAAAAGTTTAATGATAAATTTCACAGTGAAAATTAGAACAAAAGCTGTGTTGAATATACAACATTTACCTGCTGGGTGCTTAACGTTTGAGCAGCAAGATTGTTCACCTGCACCACCGTACTTGGCAGCAACAGGCAGTCTTATTCCCCTGCATGTTGCTGTCTTTTGCCAGCTGAATTCTCTCAGTTGAAACTCCTTGTCTAGGCTGCTCATGTAGCAGAGCAGGTGCCCTTACTCAGAGCTAAAGCAAGAGACCCATGATACTGTTCTAAAAGGCATTTGCTAAATAAGGAACTCCTCTAACAGCTGTATAAACTCATGTTCATTGTGCCAGTTTGATTTCCTGAAGCAGTCAGGAGCAGGGACAAAGAGGATGATATGGGAAATCCTTAAGTGTTCAGGGTTGTTACACTTTCCCACTGAGGCTAAAGAGTAATTCTATCATCTACTTTATTATGATTGCAGAACATGTGATGTAAAATACTTAGAAAAACTAGAATTAACTCAGAGATTATATTCTATAGAATTTATTTCTAAAATATTAAATCTGATTACTATTTTTTTAAAATGGTAGAAAGCTACTGTTATTTTCAAAACAGAGTCTAGTTCATTAACATGTTCCTTGGTATGAGAAATCTCAACATTTGCCTTTTCAATGTTTTCAAATTTTTTTAAAAAGATTCCTTAATTTTGCTGTTCTCTGTAATTGCTGTCCATGTGCAAATGATTAATTGTCCATTTTTTCCAAGAAGTGTGAAATCCAAAGCACGAACATTGTGAAGTGATGAACAAGTGCGACTTAGTTGCAAAGATGTCTGAGTGAACACATGCTTGAGTTCTTCATAAGTGCTTCCTGGTCACTGTCTCTTCCCACTCCTAAATCAGAGGCAGCTTTTAACTTTGTTGCTAATAAATGTGTCAGAGTATTATTTTCACTTAAGGAGGAAAGTTATAACATCCTTGAGAACTTTCTGCTACCCTAATGGCTGATAACCAAGAATTTTATTTTATAAGAACGTCCAATTCATGAAACATCTGTTTTGCAGCCTTAGTCTTTTTAATTCCTTCCTCCCTTCATCTTAGTGTCTGGGAAGGGTCTGTTGTACAGCAAGGCTTTTCATTAAAATCGAGCATGAGGACAACTTTAGTGTCCTCTGTGCTATCTATCCTTTATTTTGCTAAAAGAGGTCGTTGTGGTTTTTTTTTTTCACTTAACATTATCATGTAGGTAGATTAGAACTGTGATGAAAACTAGTCCCCCATTGGCTCTGAAATGAGGGAGCAGTCCTGGTGGGGATCTGTAGACTCTCCCTTTGCATGCAGACAGACAGGAAGGAAACCTACCCCACAGGCTCCAGAGGTGTGGTAGGGGATCCTCGTTGTCTCCTGAGGTGTGTAGATCCAGGGAAAGACTGTCATCCTTGATAAAGCACAGCCCAGTACAGGATGAAAATCCAAGATTGGGGAAGGGAGAAAACCATCATTTAGGGGAACAAAAAAGTTTCCTTCAAGCTACTGTTAGGATTTTTTTTTTCTAATATAAGTAATAAATGATAAATTAAAAACAACCTTTTATAAAATAGAAGTGAATTAGATCTTAGAAAGGAGAAGTTAAAATATGTATTGCTCTACTGCTGTATAGTCTTTATGATTAGGAGGATACCTCCACACAGAAGGCCCCACTGACAAGAGAACCAAATTCATGGTGCTCTATTGCTGCTTCTCAGTTGAGAAGATTATAGTCCTTTACCCAATGCTGGTGGGGTGGGTGTAAAAACAAAAGTCAGAAGGCAAACCTCATTTACTTACTCAATTTTCTTGATTTAGATCTTGCCAAGGACACTTTCATTTTAGATAGTTCATGAATTAATGTCAAATAGAACCAAGTCAAAAGAAGTTTGCTTCAGTGTATGTTCTTTAACTGTGCACTTTTCCAACTAGATTAGCTTTCCTCAATGGACAGGAAAAGTGGTGGAAGATAGAAATGTACACCACTGTTCGAATGCAAAGATAGTCTTTTGTCTTGAGGTATGGGTGGACATACCTTGGAGTGAGTGAGGGGAGAATAGAAAGGGCAATTTAGAGGAAAAGAAGGATGAAGGCAAGGGGTAGAATGATAAGGACAGTTTTTTTTTCTTCTAAAGGGCAAAACAAAACATTATGTATGGAAAAAAAAAAAAAAAAAAAAAAAAAAAAAAGGAAGGAAAAAGGAAATTAAGATATCCCCAGAGCACGGATGGAAAAGTATATGCATGCTCACTACAAGCTTGGCCATGTTAGATCATAATATTAATTCTGTTATTTAATATATTTTAAAACAAACAGAAAATCAGTGCAAACAGGAAATGCCATTTTTCTATACCAGTTGTATACAGGCAGACATTAAATAAAGGACTTATCCAAAAGCATGGGGTAAAAACTACAAAGCAAAGCTACACCCTAGAAACACAGCTATTTCTTTGCCTATGTAAGTCATGTTCAATATAGTTTTAGTTAACTCTGCTCCCAGACACATGTTCAAATGTAAGAGGTTTCTCAGATAACCAGGGACACCAAAAGCAAAGAAGAAATAGATGTCCTTTTTTATTAGCATTTTAGCTTGGGATTTTCAACTGAGTCTTGGTATATGGCAGCTAATTCTTTTAAAGATGTTCTTAAGAGTGAAATTTCTGTTGGATTATGGGTGAAGGTCAACCTTGCTGGGGTACTGGGGGATCACTGTAAACAAGCAGCCATCCATTTGTGAGTCTCTGATACATAGGTTGAGCATGCAGCTTCTTGAAAAGATTGCATCTACGACTGGCAGCTGGTTCTTTTAAAACAAAACCAGAAGCAAGCACGCTGGTTTTTTTTTCAAACCATTTCACACAAATGCCACCACTTCAGTTGTCTCATAACAATGCCCATGTAAACAGTGCTTAAGAACTGGGCCCTTCTTTTAATTGACTGATTGTAGGCACTTCTATGGAAATACGTCTGAAGTGTAGTTCGTGAAACATGTTAAAAAAGTGTTTGATGTAAAATAAGCGCTAGACATTTAACAGTGCAAAACTAGTCAAAATCTGTAGATTAAAAATCCATTCCTAAGAGCCTCAGCCTGTAATGTTGTCTTAGTAAAGTTGATCTTTTAAGTTAAATTGCATTCTGGTGTAAAAGCCTTTTACAAATAAAATTAACACCACAAATGTACTCATTAATACCTGTTAAGATAAAGACATGGCAATTGGCTATTTTAATTTGTTTCCATCTACAGCTAAGAGATTGCAATTTTGTAAAAAACACAACCACCACCAACAGTTACTACATTTTTTAAGTTTAAAGTGTTTTCATTGTTTTAACAAATACAAACTACGTATTTACACTGTCTATCCAGCCCAGTCTTCTAGGAGGTTCATCTCTCTCTGTATATATATATTTCCCATAAGAATATAAAATTGCTTTTGAAATTTTTGTTGGCAAGTGGTAAATAATACCACAGCATGGATTCAAAAGCACTTAAGTTGATGGTCTTTCAGAGGTGTAATCAACTCAAATGGGACTAGTAAAATTGTGATGTAATTGCAGCTGTTTGTTTAAAATTTGTACATTACTTCTAACTTTACTAATTTTTGAGAAAAATAATTAAGTACTTAACATTTTCCATTACAGATGATCTTGCATACTAAAATTATGGAGATCTCAGCAGTAAAGCAACATATTTAATTGGACTGCTGCTTTTAAATTGTTTGAAGAAGCAAAGGGAAAGAAAGTTCATCTTAAAATCTGTACATGGAAATAATTTAAAGCTTCATGAACTACACATTTCCTTAATTTCCTTTTTTTTTTTTTAAACAAGTTGTAACATCAAAGATGCCAAAGGGTAATATAAGCTACAATAATATTCAACAGAACTTAACCTAGACCTTATGTTGTAATAATTTATTCAAATTAACTGTATTCTTCTGTATTTATATTTTCGGTATTTATTATGAATGATATGGAATTTGATGTATTTATTGTGGCTTATTACTGCAGTGTATATATTACAAAAATGAGCATTTTTAAGTCTTAACATTAGGTTTTTTTTGTTAATTAGTGGCACTTGTATCTGCTGTATTTTTATTATATATTGTACAATATATATTGTCCATTTGTTTGCAATGAAGTAAACCAGGTTTCTACGTTACATCATGGCTGCCAGTGCACTGTGCATCTCATTTCTACTATGCAGGCACTAGACATTCCTCTCTCGTCTAACAAAGCCAGAATTAGGACTGCACCTCCTCCCTCAGACCTGCAGAGCCTCTATAAGATGATGTGTGAAATTTCAAGCATTTCTCCCATTCCTCATTGTCTGATAGCTTAAGGAGAAACAGTTTCCGTTCGGGGTTTTTTTGTTGGGGTTTTTTTTGGTGTTTTGGTTTGGTTTGCTTTTTATTTTAATCAGCAGATAAATATTTAGGAAATTAACAGAAATGCCTTGTTAGGTATATCTGTTTGCCCTTTAATGATACTACTGTCTACACTTTTCTCTGGCCAGTGGAATAAACTACATGAGTCATCTGCACCTATCATGGTGAATTTAATGATTTGAGTGTAAGTTAATGAAAGAATCATTTTCAACAGCTGTTGGAAAAAATTTTGCAACAGCTCTCTCTGGTGGACAATTTGAAGTAATTTTATATAACAGATCATTTGAATGGCTACAATAGCATATAAACCATAGTGTCAAATTTCAGGACAACTGAATTATTTTGAAAACTGCCAATCAACATTGCTTCTCACAGGTCTGTGCGCTCTTTTTATTCTGATATTTATTAAAATTGAACTGTACATTTGTAAAAGGTAAGTTGTCCTTAAGTGTGCTTTAATGACAAATTACATATGGCTAAATTAATGTATTTACAAAACAGGTTTTAAGGTAGTATTTGTTTTTAATTTGTTAGGAGTTACACAGAATGGAATAGATAAACATCTGCTATCAGACTGCTTTTCTGCATTGCCATGAACTATGGTTAATAGTGCTGCTCCAGGGCTTGCTAAACCATACTGACAGAAAAAATTTGTAAAACAACTTTTAGCACTAGTGTTCTAATGCAAGATATCAGGATGCTAGTTCAGAAGTAAGAAGACTTACAACTGAACCTCAGTGTTAAGTTGATCTATTAATAGTACTGATGTAATTCTATACTCACGCTAGCGTAAATCAGCAATTACTCCTGAGGGTGATGAAACAAAAGCCTCAGGTATGGTGAGCAGGCGAAGTCACACTGCAGTTAACAGTGTCATAGAACCATAGACTGGTTTGGGTTGGAAGGGACCTTCAAGATCATCCAGTTCCACCTGCCTGCCATGGGCAGGGACACCTTCCACTAGCCCAGGTTGCTCAAAGCCCCGTCCAACCTGGCCTTGAACACTGCCAGGGAGGGGGCAGCCACAGCTGCTCTGGGCAACCTCTGCCAGGGCCTGACCACCACCACAGTGAAGAATTTCTTCCTTATATCTCATCTAAATCTTCCCTCTGTCAGTTTAAAATCCCTACAGCCCCTGATGAAGAGTCCCTCCCCATCTTTCCTGTAGCCCCATTTAAGTACTGGAAGGCCGCTATAAGGTCTCCCTGGAGCCTTCTCTTCTCCAGGCTGAACACCCCCAACTCTCTCAGCCTGTCCTCACAGGGGAGGTGCTCCAGCCCCCTGGTCATCTTTGTGGCCTCTTCTGGACTCACTCAAGCAGGTCCACATGCTCCTTATGTTGGGGGTCCCACAGCTGGACACAGTGCTCCAGTTGGGATCTCACAGAGCAGAGTAGAGGGGGAGAATCCCCTCCCTTGAACTGCTGGCCACACTGCTCTTGATGCAGCCCAGGACAAAGTTGGTTTTCTGCACTGCAAGTGCACATTGCTGGCTCATGGTGAGTCATAACCAGGTAGAGCCACAAATGACCAGTGGGGTCTCTTGTTCATGGGCCAGAGCTGTCCAGAGCCACAGGCTCTGAAGTCCCAGGACATGTAGGACCTGCTTTGTCCTGCTGGGAGTAAGGCTATGCTGTCCCTGCCTGAAATAAAGGTTTCTTTAGTGTTTGTGATTACTTTCCCAGATGTGTAACAGAGCCTAGTAAGATGGAGGCTAACACTGACCCTAGATTTTCTGGTAAACTTCAGTAGTATTGAGGTATTAATTTTTACATGCTGCATATGTAATAGTGTTTCTCTTTTTTTCTCCTCCATGGGGAAAGAGAAGATCCTAATACTATTTCTGAAAGTGCTTTAAATTTTAAAAAAGGCAGTAAGAGAGAGAAGCCCCTGCAATAAACTGATTTTCAGCATGCAGTTATGTGAACATCAATGACATCCAGAAGAGCTATAGATAATGTGAAGCACTTGAAAACATTTTATTTGGTTTTTAGACATGTAATCCAGAATTTTTTTAAAAAGTTCTTCAATGTGATAGCTTAGAGGAGAAGAAAAGTTTATGATTTACATGTTTCAGTGTGTACTATGATCATGATATCTGCAGGACAAATGGAGAGAGTTGCTGAAGAAGCAAAGCTGAATACTTTCAATAGACATTTCAGCAGAAATTTCCTGCTAACAAGACAGAAAAACTGTAAGGATGGTGACATGATACAAAATGGAGTGTAGCCCAAGGGAACATTTAACTGATTTTAAGCTGGTTAAGGTAGGGTAGTATAAGGACCCTAGATTACTTTGACTATAAAATAATTATTTCTTTATTATGTCTTTAGAGTAAAGTGTGTTTTGGATTATGCAACAACTATGTCTTGGTTTCTGATACAAAAATAGTACTTAGCTTGCATGAGCTTTTGTTTACATGGCTTAGTTTTATATGCACACCACAAAATGCACCTACATAGGCAGACTGCAGAAACCATTTTTATTTCCACATCTGTGTTTAACTGGTTTGAGTGCTACAAGCTGGGGATAATGGCAGACTAGCCTTTGCAGAAGAGATCTTTCACTTATACTGGAAATCACCATGTAAAAAGCATTTTTAGTTCTATTTATTCTAGTATATCCCTTGGACTTTTGACTCCAGTCCCAAGCAATTATTTGAAATGCACACTGGCGCCACACATTACCGTTCTGGCCATACCTATGCCTCTTCCTTCACTTTCACATCAAAGGCCCAGGCTGCCCCTCATCTCCCTTTGGCCTTCGCATGGCTCCATTCTTCCCCAAACCCCACCTTTCTTGCACCAAATTGCTGCCAACAATTAGACTCTGCTCATGGCAGAGCTAAAGCAGAAGCCCAGCTTTTAGGCAGGCACAGCCAACCCACAGAAACCAATTTCTGTTCCACAGCCAGCAAAAACATTGCAAGTCTACACTTTAACCACAGGCCTTGAATAAGTCAATAGGTGGCCTTCAGCTCTTAATTTCCAGTTATCTAGACAGAGAGGTAGTAGCCATGACTCGCCCTGAGCTCACTAGCTTGGTTTTCCTTATTCCTTTTTCCTCTCATTACACATTCCAATCCCTTTTGAAAACATACACAGGAGCTCTTGGATCAACAGTCAGGCATGTATATATATTAGGTGAGTGTTTCCTGGTCCTAGAGCAGTAAAGTTTTAGGTAAGTATGCTGTCTCATTGTGAACTACTGTCCCCTGTTAAATTACAAATCTTATTATTTCATAGAAACTATTTAATATCAAAGCAAACATTAATCCTAATGCAAAGATTTTTGTTTAGATGCAAGGTAATCTATGTGGGCAAATGTTATTTACTGAGCAGCCTTTAGAAGCAATTATACCACACAAGTGACAAACATAAAATTTCCTTGGCAACAGACCAGGTAGCTAGCAGCCTGTCAACTGACCAACTACCCCAGTCACAACGCATGGGATGATTTCTCTGATAGCATACCTATTGTCAAGCACCTCTCTTTCCTGACAGAATTGCATGTTTGAAATATAGAAGGTTTAGCCAAGTGGAGAAGCAACTAGACTTCTCAGACCTATATAATCTAGGAGGCACTGAGGCACTCCAGAAGAATCCCTAAATCAGTGAGCTTTGGTAAAAGTCAGTAAGAAATCTCAGCAGCACTTTACAATTCTAACCTTGGAGCTCTTCCTTGAAGTGCCCCCATGTATTTCCTGTGTGAACACCATTTCTGACATTCTTCCCACTGTAGATTCTAGATTCCTTGCTACTTCACTTTTCCAGCTTTTCCTCACTCACTGCCCTTCACTTGCACTATTGTCCCACACTCACTCCTAGAACCTGTCCCCCTACTTTCCTTGCTTTTGCTCCCACATCTCTTCTTTCTCCCTAGAGTTTCTCATCATCACTTTTCCAAGTCCACTCAGTCCTTGACTTAACCATTAAGCTTTCTGCCTTAGTCACTCCTTTCCAGTGTTATGTTCTGGTCCTTTAGGGTCTATCAATTTTTCCTTCTATATCAGAGGAGCAGAAAGCCCCTTTTTCTTGAGATCTGAATGTGCCAGAAAATTATTTTCTCTTCCTTATACACAAGTTAACATGTTAGGTGTAACTTACCTTTCTTCTGCAGCTGTCCTCAACAGCCATTTCCACAAGCACAGACTGTTTATGTTCCATCATACAAGTTATTATGTTATTTTTCACTTTTGTAATTTACTAGTCTGAAATGTTTCTCATCTCCTACCCATTCCCTGGACTTACTGCTAGTGGTTTCAGGCCTCAGTCATACTGACTGAATCTGGATGGAAATTTGACTATATACAGCTGCAGCACTGCTAGGTTTCACAAACCACAAATTCACCTAAGCAGACCCTCTGTTCTGTAACTGCATTGCCAAGACATTACCAGCCATACTATGCATACACATTAGGCTTTATGTCTCTTATACTCTATTTCAGACCGCTAGAGACTTCTGCCTTTCTGCTGCTTTTGAGAGAAAAAAAAAAAAAAAAGCGCTAAGAAGAGAAACAAAATTAGCAACAACAGAAGACTGGGGAGGACTGCCTCCCAGGCTCACACTTTAAGACCTGAGTTTTCTTCCATTTAACTTCTGTCCTGTTCCTAAGCCTCTTTCCTGGACAAATCCTGTTCTCTTTGCTGTTCAGTCACCCAATCTCTTCATACTACTGCAGGCATTCCCTTCTTACACCAGACACTACTATATTTATTTCTCCTTCGGGAACCCAAGCATGAGATATTCCTTCTTGGAAGTTCAACATCTACTAA